AGGAGGTGTTTGATTAAACTAAGACATTAACTAAAAAATAAAGGCTGTATGAGCAAAAAGGTTTATATTTATTTTTTTAAACCAAGTGACCTTGACCTTGACCCTAGAGACCGCTTACTCTAAAAAAAAAAAATTAGAGGACCATCAAAGGTATCCACCTACTAAATATGAAAGATATCAGTAAAGAAATTAAGCAATTAGGAGAAATTTAAGATAAATCCAACTTGCCGAAATAGGTTAACCAGACAAGGCCCTATTTTCAAAGTGAAAAAAGGGAAATAACTGGGAAATATGGATGACACAGTTACACATATTTTAATTATTTATATCTTTAAAACATACGCAAGCATTACACCGTTGAATACTTAATTATCACAGTATATTGACTGTTTTTAAAATCAATGTATTAATATTCTCTTTCAATATTGAACGTGAGGAATTGTCTCTAAGTTACATATTATAGAAATAATATTTTAGCTTAAATATAAATCTTTCCTTTGGTTGTTTGAGCTTATGAAAAAAAAAGTTTATGTTGTTACAAACTAAATTAATTGGGCCCGAATTATCACATTGATTTTCCCATTTGTACACTAGAAAAATTGAAATACAAGGCCATTAAAAAAAGCTTTAAAAACACTTATTTAATTATCCATTACGGAGCATATTTAAATTTAACATTATTGATTCTATAAATTTGATTTTAAGGGGTATTATTTTACACTTACAGTTAAATACTGGTTAATAAAAATATGATTACAATAAATAAATAAAAAAAATTCAAGCTTTAACATGATATCACCTAAAATGTTAAAACTGCTGATTTTAAAATTTACTTATTTATATTCATGAATAGGCCATATATATCCCCAAAGTTTTTTTTTTTACAGCAACTTAACAATGGATGGCCCCTGTCACTTGATATGCAATTATCCAATAAACCATTTGGGTGTCACCTTCCCTGGCCATTTGGTCTAGTGCACTAGAAGTGCACATGGTGTGCACTTCTAGTTCAGCTCTAGTGCACTAGAAGTGCACAAGGGTGGGAAGTTTAGTGTGAACTCAACTGTATATAACTTGGCAATATCATGTGCTTTGTATTGATAAGTAAGTGTGGAAATTTTAAAGCCATTAGTATAGATAGAACTTAAGATATTTCCAACTTGCCGTTTTAGGTTAACCATTATTCATTTTCTAAGTGCTGAAAAGCACTTTATTTGTCAATGTATAGCATTTCCTTCGTATCATATTTACATCTATAGACTCTAAAACATAAATGTTTCAAAATATTTTTGAAATAGAATTGTTGAACATAAAAAGTCATAGATCTATCTGTTTTTAAAAAATAAAATAAAAAAATAAAAGTTCAAATAGAGATAAAATCACCTGGTCGAGCACTGGTTTGGTTGCCTGAAAAATATTGTGGTTTTATACCCAAATTAAAACGCTTTAGCTTATTGTGAGTTTGAAAGGGCCAGCTTTGTAACAACAATAAGTTTCCCAGCAAACTTTTTGTTCTAAAAGTGTTTTATGTGATTTTGTGAAAAACTGGTTAATGAGCACTGGTACGGTGACTCTATATCAGTTGCGCAAAAGAGGCTTGTGCTTTTCAAAGACGGAAATAGAGCTATTTTAATTGAATTTCAGCCTAATTTTACAGACATGTTACATAAAGATTAATGTACATTACTGTAACATTTTTATTAAGATTTATTTACATTTACATTTATACGAAGAGGCGTCTGGAATGTTTAGAGGTTTATTAAATTGGTTTGTCCTGTAATTTGAAAACGAAAGTAAACTTTCTAAAATGATGTTATTAACAATTTTGAAGTAAAAACATTTAGCGTAATTTACAAAGATATATAGCATTATCACATGCACAAAAATATACAAATATATATTACCGCAGCATTGCAATAAGTTAGGTTTAAGCACGAATTTGTTTGTTGTTCAGCATTCAGAATCGAAAGTAGGGAACAGTCAATTCCAGCAGCGACTGCGCATGTCAGTCACTAATCTCTAGTTCAACGCAGTGATCTCCCTTCGGGCGTACAAGGGAAGTAACCGCTGCGAGGCGGTGGAGATATATATATATTGCGGGAATAAATATCATTAGTTAACATATCTCAAGATAATTTTTGGAATAAAAAGAAAATGGTCATTTGTATTTTCAAACTAGTTTAAATACTGTTCTTCAATTGTTTCTTCATTATTGTTTTTAGGAAAAAAAATAGATTTTAACACATGCGGCTGCAAGATTTTAACCCATGCAAGGGGGTTTAACAATATTCTAATATGTTATTGTCTAAATAATAAAGCTGACAAATAAGGCACAGCATTGCTGAAAGCATTACTTGATATGTAATAATCAGAGATAATTTTTGCATCTATAAAAATAATACTCAAGTTGTTTGCCCTCACAAAGGCAATATTGCAGATTTTAAAATAGTCCATATTGCCATTTAAGCAGCTCGGTTTCTTGATATTCAAGTGTGTTAATCATAATTTTAACTTGACTTTTTGCTTTAATAACTCTAGAAAGAATAGTGTTTGCCTTCGTTGTAATATTGGACTTAAGATAGTGCTGTCCGCCTTCTTTTCTGATATTGCACTACAGTGTTGCTTGCCTTGCCTTTATTGTGATAGCGAACTCGCTCGTGTTATTTGCCTTATTTATTTATTTTTTTAAGTATTCTGTTTTATTGTGATATTGGACTACAGCTAGTATGTTTGCCGTCGTTGTAATATTGGACCAAAAAGAGTTTTGTTTGCCTTCGTTGTGATATAGGACTAAAGAGAGTGCTGTTTGACTTTATTATGTAGTTACTATTTGATTAAAGAGACTCAATACTTATATGTAAACGAAAATGTTAACATGTGTGATATGCAGAAGGAAATTAATGACGTCTAAGTCTACTTCTGTTGATTTCAAATAGTTGGTGAATTTTATTATAGAACTGCATACGTAGTTTAGATTGGAGGAATTGTTGAAACGTGTTTTTGCTCAGGAAAACATTCCATTTATTGCGAATAACCACTCTAAAATATCTCTTAGAACGAAGGAAACTTAGATTTTCTTTGCATTTACTGGTGATTTCATGAAATTTATGAGGTTTTTCTCAATCGAGTCTGTCTTTTAATGATAGCAATAAAAAGAACTTCGGAAATGTCAATACAAGACAATGTGTTACGTTTTTTTTTGCAAGCTATTGCTACAAGATACAAAATATATTCAACAGATGTAACAATCATTGGTATTATGAACTTAAGTTCACATCTCGAATATGTTTTATGAAGACTTGTGTTGGTTTTTGTACGAACATTGATATGTATATCTGTGACTATTTAACGTGCACTTTGCAACGTATTTTTCAAGGCATCATATGCATTCTTTACAGAATTCAACTTGAATCACTTCAAAGCTTATGGTTCGCGTATTTAGCAATTGCATCCCTAAACCTTAATATATTACTTACATACATGTGTACACGTAAAACATATACACTCCTATAAAAATGGTTATGCTATCTAGCAAGTTGCATCTTCCTTTTAATAATTCATTCAAATGTACTGATTGCATGTCAAAAATTACGAAATGGTACGAATTGATTCCTCATTTTCTATGACAGTGGAGGTATTCCTTTGATTTGATTATCACGTGTTTTTGAATGATCTAGTTATCTCTGATTTGGATATTTGCAATTGATAAGGATAGAGTTGGAAGGCAATGTTTATAGCGTTCACTGGACTGGTATTCTTTACAGATGGAAAATCACTATTGATTACTATCAGTGATAACTGCAAGCTTACTGTGTGATTATGTTGTGCATTTGGAATATAATTGCATTGATTGGATTATTTGTTGTCTATGGTACAGTTCCGTTTGTCGATAATATAAACAAATTAGCCATAAAATAATCTGATGAAAATAAAATTTTATTAATTATTTTTTAAAAAAGGCTGTTAAACAGAACAGAACGACTCGCATATAGCATTAAAAAATTACTAAAATGGGATTTTTGTATTTGTTTAAAATAGTTTAAAAGTAATACGAACAGCATTAACGACACAATTTGCATCTTGGTTTAAATAATGTTTATTTATCTTAATGATTCATTACGCCATTTAATCATGTGCGGTTTATTTGAGTTTTACTGAGTACTAATTCTAGTCATGTAATGTTTAAGGTATATCTTTCATACTTATTTCATGTTTATATATGAGCCGCGTCACGACAAAACCAACATAATGGGTTTGCGACCAGCATGGATCCAGACCAGCCTGCGCATCCGCGCAGTCTGATCAGGATCCATGCTGTTCGCTTACAAACCCTATAACAAGTAGAGAAACTGATAGCGAACAGCATGGATCCTGATCAAACTGCGCGGATGCGCAGGGTGGTCTGAACCCATGCTAGTCGCAAACCCATTATGTTGGTTTTGTCATGACACGGCTCATATATGTTTTGGTGTTGACTTCTTGTATATGATGGATCTTATTCTGTCTTACAATATTTTGTGAAATGATATTTTTCAGCAGCATTTGAAAAGGATTTTTGATTGAATGTATCGTGCCAAGTTATTTTTTTTATTTATTTTTCATTGTTTTCTTATTGTTTTTCTTTAAGCTGATGATCAATTATTTGTGCCAAAACGGTATGTGGTGCACTTAACAACGTCAACCTGGGCACAGAGTCTGGCAACTTGCACAGACAGTGGTGGTAGCCTGGCAACAATATATGATTTCTCTACAATGCCTGATATTCAAATTGGTCAAGAGTATCTTCTTAAGTAAAAAAACTTTTTAAGTGTTTTTTGTTTGTTTAAATTTCATAACAAATAAATTGATAGTAGAAATATATAGCAAATTTAAAAGTACTATCTTATTTGATTTTTGCATTTATAATTATAATTGTATAATGACTTCAAAAATGTATGCGGGATAATCTTCAACGAACGAAATTGCTATACATTGTGGATTATGTGGTATTGTGCATGTGTGAGAAAATTTTCACCATAAAAGCCATACATAATGTCACAGGAAATTGATTTTCAACTTAAATGGAGCTTGCTCCCTGAATTTTTATGCCATTTTTTGTCAGACTATTATACAAGTCAAGCCATCTGTATTTAATTCTGCATTTTCTCTAATCTTTTAACCTCTTCGTTTGGTTTCAATGTTTTATTATTACGCTGTCCGTTACACGCTTAAACTAAACTTTATTGCGTTTTGAATAAATGGCGCCTTTTATAAGTTTTATCCAAATATCCTTTAATTTATGAACAGGAAGATAACTGTTATTTTCAACATTTCTCAATGAGCAGTATTTTCATTTACACTATTTCTCTGTTAAATCTCATTCATGTTTTTTTTATTTCTTGATTCACCCGCTACTCATTTCTACTACAACCATTTCTTGATTCGTTCGTCACTCGTTTGTTGATACGTTTGTCAATCTCCATTCAATATATCGATCTTTTAAATTCGACTGCAAATTTTGTAGTACATTTTGACCCGTCTGTCATTGTATTGTAGATAGACTCTTTTGATTCTTTCTTTCTTCCTAAATGAACGTACGCCACTTTTTTCGGTCAAAATATGCAAAATAGTCCATATTGCGTCAGTCACGCAGTAGAAATATGGTGATAATTACAGAAAAATCAGTCATTAATCGCGCACAACTTGTACATTATTACTTTAATCTTGAATCGTTCTTATCTTTAAAATCTTTTTATATGTTTCTAAAGTTTGACTTTCTTGAAATAGTTTGGCTCACCAGGAGGCATGCAGCTTTAAAAGATTTTTCGAACTCTTTGATTCCCATATGGCTAATACACGGCTCTCGTTCATTTGATTACGGCTGCTAATATTCTCACCCATTCTTGCTGCGAGCTATAGGTACGTGTATGTTGTTTGTTAAAGAATAACAATCAATACTTTTAATTACGTCGCCTAAATCTTTCAAGATCTTTGTTATTCCAAATACATTATCAAAACATGAACACTAACATTCAGATAGAACGTGATTTCCTCCTGGCGTGTAATAGCTTATTTCATTCCAAATACATCTGAATTCGTTAATTGAATGCATGTAGAACACAACAACATGTTGTTACGGTGCTCCATTTGGACAATCGTGACTTTTTATTTAGTCTGTACCCGCGATGCACGATGGTAAGATGGTGAAAACACGATGGTATGATGATGAAAACGTGATGCTACGACGGTGAAATCGTGATGGCGCGATAGCACGATGGTGAAAACGCGATCGTACAATCGCGATTTCACCATCGTACCCTCGCGTTTTCACCATCGTACCATCACGTTTTCATCATTATACCATCGTGTTTTCACCATCGTACTATCGCGCTTTCACCATCGTACCATCGCGCTTTCACCATCTACCATCGCGTTTTCATCATCGTGCCATCCGGTCAGTATAATCAGTGCACATACAGAAATATTTCAGATTCTGTTACAGTAGATAATCAAAACAAGCTTTGATTATTTTATATTAAATTTGAGTTATAATATAACTAATAAAACCTGTTATCTTTAAATTAAATTTTCCTTTTATGTCGTTATACTGTATGTAGATCAAATACTATTTAATATATGCTAATATATGCTATATATATGTTTTTATATTTTTCTCTTGCTGTATTTAATATATCAACTTGAAACTTTATATGTACAGTGCACAAGGATGACAACTTTATTTTATTTTTTTTAAATGTTTGAGTGATTGCCTTTTGTTAATTTCATGTTCTAAATACTAAGATCTAAAAGATACACAACTGAAAAGGGTGTCGGGTTTAATAATGAGAAGGCATACATTGATGATAAAAATGTACCATTGCACATGACCACCGGAAGACGACCGCAGGATGGTAAAAACGCGATGGCACGATGGTGAAAACGCGATGGTACGATGGTGAAAACGCGATGGCACGATGGTGAAAACGCGATGGCACGATGGTGAAAACGCGATGGTACGATGGTGAAAACGCGATGGCACGATGGTGAAAACGCGATGGTACGATGGTAAAAGCGCGCACGATGGTGAAAACGCGATAGCACGATGATGAAAACACCACATGGCGCAATGGTGAAAATGCGATGGAACGATGGTGAAATCGCGATGGTACGATGGTGAAAACACGTTTTCACCATCGCACTATCGCGATTTCACCATCGTACCATTGCGATTTCACCATCGTACCATCGCGTTTTCAACATCATACCATCGTGTTTTCAACATCGTACCATCGTGCATCGCGGGTACAGACTAAATAAAAAGTCACGATTTTCGAAACGGAACACCGTATGTTGTGGTCCAAGTTTTGATAAACCTTATTCCAATTATTTCATATTTTAGCTTTCGTAAATTTTAAGTTTCAAAACGTCAACATTCTCTCGACATTTTTTACAGTGAAAACATTTTCTGGATTGGATTGCACAGAAAGAATGCCAATCACAGCTATGAATGGCAGAACGGGGATAACATCACGTGGTATAATTGGAAACCTGGAATGGTTGAAGACATTGCCAAACTTTGTGTAGCATCGTCATCAGATATGCCGTATTCATGGATTATCATGGATTGTGAAGAACGCCTTCCATTTATTTGTCAGTATAACGAAGGTACAGGTATATTATCTTTAAAACAACTTGCCTCCAGATTTAGATTTATGATAATTTTCATGAAAATGTATTAAAAAAATTGTGAAGTGAACATAGAAAGTAATTTACAAATTGCAAACAGCACTTACACTCTTACAGTTGGTATACGTTTAATATACTATCCAATTCGAATGTATACGACTGGGGATGATTCAGCTCTTCTTTCTCTAGACAACAATAACACTTTTATAATTAACTTTTTCGGACGAGTTCTTGCCTACATTTTCTTACAAGAACAACATCTATTTATTTTTGTATGTACGCATATTGTACTAACATATTATATTGTTGTTTATTTTCAACAATTCCAGGAGAATGTCAATTTGTTGAGTTTGTAAATATGAGTATTGCATCTCATAATTACATGTATCTGTACGAAAAAAGTGAGGACGAATGTAAGAACGTCTGCATCATACAACTAGGCACCAGGTGTCGCTCGTTTGACTTTTACCCGGCTGATGGACGCTGTGAGTTCAACAGTGGTGATAGATGGACGCTTGCAAAGTATTACAGGGTCAAAGAAGGTTGGGTCTACTTTCACTGGACATGTAACATAGGTAAACTGATTTTTGAGTCGTTGCGACAAATAGGGATCACTTCTCCGTCGTCTTCTGTCTGTCTGTCTGTCTGTCTGTCCGTCCGTCCTAAGACCCTGAGTTTATCTAGCAATCAATAATTTTGGTGCCATCGATCGCCATTGGTCTTTATTTCGTTTAACTCGTACGGCTCTCACTTTTTCAAAATAATCAAAATCCGTACATTTCGAATAAGCCAACAGAAAATTCAGAAATAGTCGTTTGAACTTACATACATAAATGTATTGACCTGTTATGTTTAGTTTAGTGTTTATAAGTAAGCATTTACAAAATCAAATTGGTCGTTCGACCTATTTAAAGAAGTAAACAATAATTTAGTGTTTGGAATTCTTTTTATGAAACTGTCAATTTATTAGACTGATTAGATTTAATCGATTTTCCAAAAAAAAGTTTTATGGTTCATTTGAAATACTGCAATTCTATAGGACAAATAATAATTTCAAACACTTAATTATATTACAGTTGATAATAAGAAAAAAAGGTAAGAAAATGGGTTACATTTTATGTAGTTTGCAGATCTTTGCACTTAAATCATGTCTTGCTTTTGCTGTATATGTTTAATTTTCTGCAACAAAATCTAATGTTTTGAAAAGAAATGTTTACATGTATAAAACTGTTTTTTTTTTCAGGAGAAGTGGTAAATGCTTCAATTTCGCCTTCACCGACTCTAGGTATATATTTATTGGATAATATTTTTTTGTAAATCTTATTATTATAAGTGAAACACCCTTTTTGATTATTTTTTTTATATTTTTTACCTATATAGATCTATAGCTATTTATTTCAAGAGACATAAATGAGCTGAGCTGACTTGACAATATATTGCAAAAAATTCCCTGTTATAATGGTGATTGGCCAAAAGTTGATATTAGAAAATGTCTAAAATATAAAAAGACTGCCCCACTCGTTTTGTAAATTGAATGTTACAGGTACATTCTCATGGATAGTTACAGAAATGTGAGTTATTTATCAGACATGCCATGTAGATAATATACTTGAAAGAAATTATGGCAAAATGTAAAAATTTTTTTACTTCTACCTATTCACTCACCATATATACTTGGATGGGCATAATGGATCTTTAAGAAAGACACACGTTTGTTTCCGAATAAAGCTTCCGGTTACAGTATATACTTAACGTTTTGACGGTTCATATACATTTGCATGTACATGAACATGACTACGTGTGGTTGCTCATGTTCTAGTACTATATATTATATTTATATGTATTCATATGTAAATATGCTGCTATAAGATACATATAATTTTTAAGTTTTTAGTCTCTGTATTAAACCTAATGTATACAATGTATTATTGAAAACTTTTGTCATCAAAGTCAAAAAAGTCAAAAAGTCATTAAATTTTTTTAAACTATATCAAATTCTTGACACAAGAACGAAAAAAAAGGTAGAAATGGTTTGTACATGAGTTGAAATATATTGACAACTTAAGTTATACTTTTTCTTCAGTTATGTAGAATAAATGTTATTTCATCTAATAAAGAATATGTTGACTTATTTCATCTTTATTCAACTTATAAAAGAAAGAAAGAGTGATAGCGTTGAAATAATAAGAAACCAAACCAAAGTTCCCCGACACGATATGTACATAAAACATTGTTTTATTTAACAGCTTCATTTCATTCTTCATTTATTTCCAGGCTGTTTGGAAACTTCGAACATTTTTGTTACTCATAACATATATTCCTCTCATGTTATCACGTTAACTAAAGAAGTACCAGTATCACGTGATGTCCCAGTTACACGTGACGTCATTCTCACCTCAACGTTTATAGACAGGACGACAATTACATTAACCGAGACGTCAACTCACGTTATTGTTGCATCACCGACGTTTGTAATACCCTCGGCATCGGAAGACCCAATTGAGGAACTGAAAGAGATCGGAGAGGTTGCCGTTGAAAGGAGAAAGACGTTAAAGAAAATCAGCGTCATTGATAAAAGACCATCAGCTAAATACGTTGGTTACGTTGCAATCATATTCATGTCTGTTGTGTTTGGTGCAATTGTTTTATTTGATTTATTAACCTTATGTCGTTATCTGAACTGCTTCGGAGATAAAGAACAAGATGAAAAATCCAAGCCAAAGGCTGACAAGGGAATATTTAAGAAAGTTTTTGGATGGTCTAAAATTAAACATAGAAAACAATGCAATATAGAAGAGGAAGAAATAAAGAACAACTTGCGACAAAGATGTGTAAATCACACAAATAATAGTTCTTTAACTACACGTTTAGATGAAGACCCAACAACAAGTTATGATGCCGACTTGGATAAGAAGACGGGTCGTAGATCGAACATGATTTGGCGGCCTTTTATTCTAAATATGGGCGATAGTGGCATAGAAGGTTCAGACATGAGTTCAAGTCCTGATCCCAGCGATACATGTAGTGACATATTTCATTTTCAATACTTTCCGAATGAATTTGACAACATCAGATCGGAAAAATTATCACCAAATAACAAGGAGAATACCAATATGACTACAAACTTCTAGAAAGAATAAACTTTACTATGCTAAACTAGTATTTTGTTTGTTTTTGGACATACCTTTATGGATATTAACAAGTGTGATTATCTATTTTTTTACATTACACTTTTGTTTGTTTGACCTCATCATCATTATCGTCATCATCGTCATCATCAACAGCAACAAGGACATCATCATCATCACTAATGATCTATCAACACCAGCACCCATGTTCTAAAATAGCAGGATCCTCACTGATTGATTAATAACTAGTATAAAATTATGTTGGTTACATAAAAAATAATTTGTTTATCTCTATCCATTGTTAACATGCAAGTAGGCCTAAATCACTGTGCATATTATCATCATTTTTCGTATCACTTACATGTATTTTTGTTGTTGTTGTTATTATTCTTTAATGAAACGAATGATAATTTCATAAAAGTAAAAAAACAAGAGAAAGCCTATGTTATATTTAAAAAAAAACAACAACAACGAAGCTTATAAAAAAACTACTGCAGAAATAGCTTTCACATGCATGTTCTATAGGAGGAAAAAAACACTACCACTACACGCACTATAACAATCGACTCTTACTAAATTCATGAGTAACCCTTTATAATGTATAAAAAAGGAATGGCAAAATGTTGGGATTGTCGACTGTTTATAAAATAAATCCTATTTATAACTCGGTCCAAGCAATGAATCACGATCTCATAACTTATTCATAATTTTTTAAATGTTTTTGTTCATTATATTTCGAAAAACATGTAAATGTTTTTCTTAACATTATTGATTCCTAGTATCGAATTCAATTATACGGTATATTGTTACATGCTCATTGTAATTCAAGTATTTTTTGTTTAGTCTAATCTACTCTATATCTTTTTAATCACAAAGGGTATAATTAAAGAGAACCTTACAAATATTATAAACGACAAATAAATCATTGGCTAGTAATTCTCATTCATTCATGAGATTCTTTGATTTTTAGACTACTATATTTTTACGCAATGCTCTAGTTCATACACTCTACGTACTTAGTGTTTAATATAGACATGATGTTGTTTATTGTACTGCGACATTGATATGATTCATTGAAAATCCTACAACGGGGGAAAACCAGTGTGTGTTCAGTTCATATAGCATGCGAAACTAAAGAATATCGGTATATTTATATGTTGATAAAACCAGGAGTATATCAATTCCGGGTAGATTATTAAAGGTATACGGTGTCCTTATCGTGCCATTTAGAATGTCGTCCGTCGCGTCTAAGGGTAGACACACGACAATGCGAAGTGACATCGCGACAATGCGAAGCGACGCCCGACAACGCGAAGCGATATGCGACAATGCGAAGCGACGCTCGACAGTGTCAAACGATATGTCGCACTGTCGCCTAGAAATGTCGCGGTAAAAAAGGGCGACATTTAAGAAATGTCGCTTCGCGTTGTCGAGTGTCGCTTCGCATTGTCGAGCGTCGTATCGCATTGTCGCGTTGTCGTTTCGCATTGTCGAGTGTCGTGGTATGCACTTCTACCAACCTCGACACTCGACAATGCGAAGTGACAATGCGACAACGCGAAGTGACATCGCGACAACGCGAAGTGACATCGCGACAACGCGAAGCGACGCTCGACAATGCGAAGCGACACTCGACAACGCGAAGCGACATTTCTTAAATGTCGCCCTTTTTTACCGCGACATTTCTAGGCGACAGTGCGACATATCGTTTGACACTGTCGAGCGTCGCTTCGCATTGTCGCATATCGCTTCGCGTTGTCGAGCGTCGCTTCGCATTGTCGCGATGTCACTTCGCATTGTCGTGTGTCTACCCTTAGACGCGACGGACGACATTCTAAATGGCACGATAAGGACACCGTAAAGGTAAGATTTACATTTTGCTCTGTTAAGCGTGGCTGAATTTAATGCAGCATGCATGATGCAGTTTAATATTTATAAGAAACACTACACATGTGTATAATTGTGTGAAATTGTGTGTTGTACCAAAGTCGAATACATTACACATTATATACGAGGCGTGAAAATCGTACAGTACTGTAGATTTTTATACGCAGCGAAATAGGTTTAGCTTACTAATATATAAAAGGCTTTTATTTTAAATTGTCTTAGATTTTAACTACTTTGGCTTTAAATAGAAATAATTGATATATTGATTCAGTTCTACTCTATCTTATTAGATTATCCCCAAATATATCTTTATTTTATTGTTATATACAATGTAATACCGCAATATTGTTTTAGATTCTACTACATTACATTTCTCCAATTTTGTCATAATAATAAAGTTTTACGTCTACAATATGTGACTATAAAACTAAGTAAAATCGATTTTCCTCATTATTCAAAGAGAGCCTCCAGACGCCGTTTTGTCTTTTTTTGCAAGAATTCGATAAAACACATGTATATAAGAGTTGGATCATATCAAAGTTTTGTTGTTCAAAATATGAAATATAACACTTTATTTGTGATAGAAAAGTTATAGCCGCAGCTGTTAAGATGGGGTGTTTGTATTTATCGTATATATGTTACCACGATACTATAATACATATTCTAGCATCTTCGTCGCTACTGTAGGTTAACATAAATTAGTCATGAATGACGAATGACCTAGATAACTGTTGTTATTCAACAGATATCTACTTTCATTATATAAGCGTTTTAGTCCTTAATGTAGACCTTCTAAAGTGTAACTTGCATTTTGAAGCTTGACGAAGAATAAGTTTTAATGACTTATATAAATGAAACACTAGATTTAGCAACTTTTACGAAACTTATTCAGTATATTATTTAAATTGTATCTTACATTTTTACTCAAATAATGAAATAGCTAGGCCGGTCTCACTAATCTATGAATGAAAGTGTATAAAAATCACCTTTTTCATTTATCTAGACGTATATGAAACGATCGTCACACTTTTTAATTTAAATTAAATTCGCATCTTGCAGAAAAATTATTCTTTCACTATTAACAATTAAATGAAGAATATTTACTTGGGTTTTTCACAACGCATTGTCACTTTATGCAATATACATTTCCGGTCTTTGTTCAGATACATCTGAAGAGCCCCATTTTTCAAACATGACACATCTTCCGCCTATCAGAAAGTAGTGTAGGCGGGAGAAAGTCCATTGAACTCTCAGCATGATGATGATAATAATAATAATAATAATAATAATAATAATAATAATAATAATAATAATAATGATAATGATAATAATGATAATAATGAACAATTAATTTCAAGAAGCTATCATATTTAGAAATCCATGTCTTATTTACAATATGATCTTCAATTAAACAATGAAAAACTCAAATGTGTACAATGTACACACATTTAAGAAAAATACTATTTTAAACATCAAGCTTTTAAATCGGCAAATAGCGTTGAATGATTAGATTCGTTCAAAATGCATGTGAAGTAAATGTTGTTGTTTTTTGTTGTTTTTTGTTTGTTTTTTGTTTTTTGTTTTTTTTTTTGTTTCGTTTTAAAAATATAAAGAGATAAGGATTCAAATGTAAATTATTTCAGACTTCGATAGCTTTAAACATAAAAATCTTTTTACATAGTTTGTATTACATTTTACATGCATGTTGTTTCTATTAGCAGATGATCTATGTGCATATATTTCAAGATATCTGATATATATGATACAATATATGGATATCTGAAATGTAAGAATGAGTCAATCTTTGCATAGATTTAAATACTAATCATGCAATATGATATGCTCATCTATTTTTTTTTAAGTTAGCCACTTTAAATTAAGAAATAGTTCTAAAGATATCGTTTTAACTGGTTTACATAGATCTATCTTTGAAGCGGGTTTCTGCGATTTATTCACTTTTTCAGATACACTTCTGTATAATACAACAGTAATCAAAATATGGTAAAATATAGCTGATAAAAAGTACGATATAAGAATTAAGAGAGCAATATGGTGTGTGTTTTTTCCGGAATTTATTACAGACGTACTTTGCATGTATATTCAATTTTAAGTGTGTTTTTCTTTCTTAGTAATTTCTTTAATTTCGTTTTACTTAAGCATATCTGAACCTTCTTTCTTAAATTCAAATTATTTTATTTTCTGACCAAATTACTATTTTGATTTTGATACATTTTCATTTAATATAGCGACCCCTGTCTGAAATTTTATAAACTTTATGATATTCAGTAAAGATCAGATTATCAACAGACAATATAACTTTTTACAACGGCAGAAGAAAGATTCCAATTTACATCTAGGCAGTTTAACAGAAAATAAATAACGTTGTTTTTTTTAGCTCACCTGTCACAAAGTGACAGGGTGAGCTTTTGTGATCGCTTTTCGTCCGGCGTCCGTCCGTCGTCCGTCCGTAAACTTTTACTTTAAATGACATCTCCTCATAAACCACTAAGCCAATTTCATCCAAACTTCACAAGAATGTTCCTTTGGTGGTCACCTTTAAAAATTGTTCAAAGAATTTAATTTAATTCCATGCAGAACTCTGGTTGCCATGGAAAAAAACTCCTTTATGTGTATGGCAAAAACTTAAATATCTTCTTTTAAAAAACCCAAAGAGCTAGAGCTTAGATATTTGGCATGAAACATCTTCTAGTGAGTGTCTACCAAGTTTGTTCAAATAAAAGCCCTGGGGTCAAAATTGGCCCCGCCCCAGGGGGTCATTGATTTTCCCTATATGCATATAGTAAAAACTTAAAAATCTTCTTTTAAAGAACCCAAAGAGCTAGAGCTAAGATATTTAGCAGAAACATGTTCTAATGGGTGTCTACAAAGTTTGTTCAAATAAAAGCCCTGGGGTCAAAATTGGCCCCGCCCCGGGGGTCATTGATTTTCCTTATATGTGTATAGCAAAAACTTAAAAAATCTTCTTTGAAAAAACCCATATAGTTAGAGTTTAGATATTAAGCATGAACCATCTTCTAGTGAGTGTCTACAAAGTTTGTTCAAATAAAAGCCCTGGGGTCAAAATTGGCCCCGCCCCAGGGGGTCATTGATTTTCCCTATATGCATATTGTAAAAACTTAAAAAATCTTCTTTTAAAAAACCCAAAGAGCTAGAGCTAAGATATTTAGCATGAAACATTTTCTAATGGGTGTCTACAAAGTTTGTTCAAATAAAAGCCCTGGGGTCAAAATTGGCCCCGCCCCGGGGTCATTGATTTTCCTTATATGTGTATAGCAAAAACTTTAAAAATCTTCTTTGAAAAAACCCATATAGCTAGAGTTTAGATATTAAGCATGAAACATCTTCTAGTGAGTGTCTACAAAGTTTGTTCAAATAAAAGCCCTGGGGTCAAAATTGGCCCCGCCCCAGGGGGTCATTGATTTTCCCTATATGCATATAGTAAAAACTTAAAAATTCTTCTTTTAATTAAAGAACCCAAAGAGCTAGAGCTAAGATATTTAGCATGAAACATTTTCTAAGGGGTGTCTACAAAGTTTGTTCAAATAAACGCTCTGGGGTCAAAATTGGCCCCGCCCCGGGGGTCATTGATTTTCCTTATATGTGTATAGCAAAAACTTAAAAAATCTTCTTTGAAAAAACGCAAATAGCTAGAGTTTAGATATTAAGCATGAAACATCTTCTAGTGAGTGTCTACCAAGTTTGTTCAAATAAAAGCCCTGGGGTCAAAATTGGCCCCGCCCCAGGGGGTCATTGCTTTTCCCTATATGCATATAGTAAAAACTTAAAAATTCTTCTTTTAAAGAACCCAAAGAGCTAGAGCTAAGATATTTAGCATGAAACATGTTCTAATGGGTGTCTATAAAAGTTTGTTCAAATAAAAAAGCCCCGGGGTCAAAATTGGCCCCGCCCCGGGGGTCATTGATTTTCCTTATATGTGTATGGCAAAAACTTAAAAATCTTCTTTGAAAAAACCCAAATAGCTAGAGTTTAGATATTAAGAATGAAACATCTTCTAGTAGGTGTCTACAAAGTTTGTTCAAATAAAAGCCCTGGGGTTAAAACTGGCCCCGCCCCAGAGGTGTCATTGTTTTTAACTATATGTGTATAGTAAAAACTTAAAAAATCTTCTTTTAAAAAAACCCAATGAGCTAGAGGTTAGATTTTAAGCAGGAAACATCTTTTTGTTGGTGTCTACCAAGTTTGTCCAAATAAAAGCCCTTGGGTTTAAATTGGCCCTGCGAAAGGGGGGGGGCAGAGGTCATTGTTTTTCATTATATGTGTGTAGTAAAAACTTAACATCATGAAACATCTTCTAATGGGTGTCTTCCAAGTTTGCTCAAATAAAAGCTCGGGGTTTAAACTGGCCCCGCTCCGGGGGCCTATATACAGGTGAGCGACCTCAGGGCCATCATGGCCCTCTTGTTTTATATAAATCTCTTAGGCTAAAATATTGCATGGTGGCGTTTTTACTAGTGACCAGGAAATCAAAAATTGTAGAGTACACATGCATTTTGCTGGGCCTATATTTTAAACATCTTTATTCACATTCTTTATTTGATAGATAAGATAGCACATATTTTATCCTTTGTTGGTTTGTAGATAATACACCACATTATGACATAGCACTTGACATTATTGATTGTCAGTGAAGTGAGATTTTGTCGCGATTCTTATCAAGTTTATAGTATATTACATAATCAAATAATTTAGCAATAATATATGTGTATGTTTTAAAGTGAATTGGTCTATAATGGAAGGCCTATAATGCAACAAATAAGAACATGGATTGTTTATAATATCAGACATAACAAATCACGAAAAAATCTATATGGATGTTGTTGGCAAGTATGAGATATATGATCTAATATTACATATATTTATAAATCACATAATAAAGTGTTATAGAACAAAATATTATTATTATTATTATTATTCATATATTATTATTATTATTCATAAATGTTCATACTAGATCATTAAGAACTTTCCTCAACATTTTTTCCAAGAATTTTTTTTACGGATACCCAAATGATACATTTCTATCCGTTTTTTTTTGATAAATCAATATTTGAATTACCTAAGGAAAATATGCCCATAGTAGACCTATCCACTTTAAAGTAGTACCGAGACGATAGCTGAGAATAAATTATTTAAACATAAATATTACATATATATATTTTCTGTTCTATCAAAAATTTTTATTTGTGTGGGTTATAATGTGATCGTTGTCATGTTTAAATCATGCTTGTATTTTCTTAGATAGGCTGACTTACTGTTTATTGCTTCAATTAAATTGTGTTTTATCTGTTTATTCATCCAGCTAAGCCACGAGTAGTGATGGAAGATTTGGATAACAAACAGATACTGACGTGTCCAGTTTGTTGTGATACTTTCACAGATACTTCACGACTTTTACATAATCTCGATTGCAACCATTCTGTATGCACAACTTGTTTGAAGAAAGCGATTGAAGGAAGAAATGCAACTTGTCCATTGTGCAAGGTAGTAAATGAGCTGAAACAGTGTGATAAAACTTACATTTCAAGTGGCTCTTCTGGCAAATGTCCTATAGAAACGGTCGGAAAGAGATGCACACAATGTGATGAAAGTAATGCAGCTATTATGTTTTGCGAAGAGTGTAATGAATTTATATGCAATGAGTGCACAATTGCCCACAAACGCACTAAGCTTACAAAAGGTCATAGACTCACGGACATTGCACGTGACGAGGCAGCAGCCGAAATCAAATTTGAGCAAGAGTATTGCAGTGTTGAACAGCACAGTGATTGCATCTTTAATTCATATTGTATGAAATGTCATACAGTTATTTGCGAAAAATGTGCTCTTGAAAAGCATTTGAACCATCAAACAAAACCTTTGGCAGAAGTTGTTAAAGAAAATAACAAGGAATTGAAATCAATTGTACAAGAAATAAAACAAAATGAATATTACAAATTAACAGAGATACTTGAAAAGAAAACTGCAATGACGAAAGAAAGGGAAGAAAAAATGAAACTCGGGCTTACAACACAGTTTGATAATTATAGGAAAGTTTTAGAGGACAGGTGCGACGCACTGAAAAGTCAGGTCGAGGATAAAGCTAAAACATATATTGAAAACACAAGTGATTTATTACGAAATATGCAAGATAAATTAAAGGAAGCAGAACTACTTTCACATGAGAAAAATGCGATGACCTTTATCAGATCATGTCGCGATATGATAAAGGCGCTTAAAAGATGTGAAAGAAACATTTCAAAAATTCCAAAAGAGTTTGAGTTACGTTTCAGTCAAGTATGTACGACAGACGATTTCGAAAAACTTGTCAACGCCTTAGGATCAATCCAAGATGAAAGTCATCAAAGTATTAACAATAAGTTATCTACTAGTTTAGGCTTAACTTTAATTATTCTTTGGCAACAGCTATTACCTAAATACATATGTAACAGTCAAAGAAAACCTATAAACTGAAACATATATTACAAATGCGTTATTCATGCAATCGAATATTTACTCAGAAAAAATGAGATACTCAAAGAAATTGTTATTAAGCCATCTCGACATTGTTTTCAAACCATTATTTGGTATGTTATTACATAAATGAAAGGATAATATATAGATGTACCTAAATATAACAAAAATTGACAGTAAATGCTCTTTAAAACAACACGCCTTCAGATGAGTAAAATAGATCTACAAAAATATAACTTAAGAGAAAATAGTTAATTGTTAAAGAAATTTATAAATAATTTTAAAATTCGTGTTTAACTTTGAAATATAGTTAAAATTTGGCATATAGTACTGTTTCTATCTTTCTTTCACCGTTACTTAAAGACTTGTAGGAATTCTTCATATCTCTGTGGTAATTTAATGTCTTGGTATTTGTTTTACCTATTGACAAGAGCTTAGAACTCGTTACTTACTCGTTAGAACAATTTTTAAGTTTTCTGAAATTTATAGAGAATCACACAAGTCCTGAGTCTTGCTGCTTTAAGCATTGTTCAAATAGATCTAAATGTTTAATCTTAGTACTTTTGTTTCGTTTAAGGTCGGGAAGAATATGATGAGTCAGGGTCCTTTGGTTTAAAGTCAGAGGCATCGTCGGCGTTGCCTGGCGATTCACAGGCAAATACTCAACTGATGGATGTTCTCAAATCTTTGTCAATATCGGAGCAAGGAGAAAGGCCATTTCCTGAGCTTTCATATAGATCTAGTAAGCTCAACTCAACCAAGGAACCACGATCCATTAATAACGAAACCTTCACACTACAGAATGTTCATTCACCAAAAGAAGTAGATATTCCCAAACCTGTATGTCTTTTAAAAAAGAATATACCAATAGGCGAGAGAAAATTACTAGGTTTAGACAGTGTTAAGGCAATGGTGAATTTGCGATTTCAGACATGGGGGTTAAATGGTTATTGGAGGATTGATGATGACTCGATTGAAATGTTTAGTAAGTCACAAGAGGAAGCTAGTCATTGTATGCAACTGCTTAAGGAAACGCTTCTTGAAAAAACAATTCCGCTCCGGAAAGATTCTAAATTTATTGTTGAATCTGATAAATGGCAGATTATGACAGGGATGTTGAGGAAAAGACATCAAGAACAGGTAAGATAATTTCATAGAATTGGAAATGTAAGAATGTTCAGTTAGTGTGTCAATTCATACAGATATGCATACGTTTCAAGTCACATGATATTGGCAATATTATTGTATATTATAGTAATTAATTTAATTATGTATAAACTTGTTTGAGCAAATTTTACATGTTTAAAGCAACAATGATGATAAAAGACAAAAATTCGAGTTTGATTTCCTGTTTATTGTTTTAATTACATTTTGTCTCTTTCAGTGAGTGTTGGTTTTCACAAGGATTTTAAGTCTTTTGGATAATGGTTCAGAAACGGACTTAATATTTACAAATATCATGCGGGATGTGGTTTAATATGACGAATATTATTTATTTCAGGTTCAAATAGATGTAAATCATGCTAATTGTGAAGTGACTGTTTACTCAACATCAATGTTCATCCTAAAAGACTCATGCGACATCATACGGTTTTTCCTGCGAGATAACCAAATGAAAACGGTAACACTTCACTATGACGAGCCCGCACTCGCTTTTATTATGAAACACAAACGAATATTAAAAAGAATTTGTCAAAGCCTTTCGCAATATTGCCTTGATATATCAACTGTTGACAAAACAAATATCCGCTTGAGAAGCATCGGTTTTGGTGTTGGAAAGGCTATTCAAATGTTAAACAGCTTAGCATCAAAGTATGCTAAATCAACTGATGAGGATCGGTTTGATTCTGATTGCGACACGGATGAAGACGAGGAAGAAAGATTCACAGAGGACGCTGATGAGGCACATGCAGTAGAAGCGTCTAATGTAACTGTTCAGATTAATCTTGTTCTTGAAGATGATACGGTAGCAGCTGTCAGTGCGTTATGCTTTCCAGGCGATGATAGGCTGTTATATGTAGTAGCAGGAAATATGATTGAATTACCTGTCGAGGCTCTGGTCAATGCTGCTGATAAGACGTTAAAACACAATGGTGGACTTGCAAAAGCTCTGGTTTTGAAAGGTTTGTCGAATTTATATTCGTTCAATTTCATAATTAATAGTAAAAGTTTGCTAAACAAGGGAGACAATGCAGCTTTAACATATTGATGGTTCTTATAGCTTAGATGAACATTATCTTTATACTCTTTGTACAAGTGGATAAACCTCTTTTTTAAATAATACTTATGTTTCCTTCAATTGTTTTTCAGGTGGACGCTCTATTCAAGAGGAATGCACATTTCACGTTCAGAACAATGGAAATGTTGAGATAGGACAAGTGTTCTGCTCCGACGCAGGAACACATCGGAATTCGGTAATAATACACGCAGTTGGTCCAAAGTGGATTGATGGCAACCACGAAGAAAAGGATAAATTGTTTGAATGTGTAACAAATTGTTTAAGAAGTGCTTCCAAACGCAAGATTGCATCGGTTGCATTTCCAGCTATAAGTGCTGGAACGTACAGATTTCCGATTAAGGAGGCAACCCTCACTATCATGAAAGCTGTCAAAGATTTTCTACAACACGAACCACGCTGTAGTATTCGAGAAATTTATTTTTGCGACAGAGACATGGACACAGCAAGTGAATTTGTAGTGTCAATGAAAGGTACCTTCCATGGTGATGATATTATTCTATCAGGGGGGCAAGTCTTGCCGAAATCTGCTGAAAGTGTTGAAACTGGAAGAAAAGATAAACGCCAAATTTTGTTTTTCTAACTGCATTAATTTCCTTGAATTCTTTTAGGGGTAAATTTATGTTTGATACTTTTTAAAGTGACATTATTATCATCCAAGTGTATATAGTGAGTGAACAGGTGAAAGTCAAAATACGTCAGTGTTAGTCTGTATGTTGAAATGTTTTGCTCTTAATATATATGTTCCTTGTTCTAAGTTTGCAAAATATGTATAGGTTGATTGCTTCTTTTTCTTTTCTTTTTTTGTCTTTTGACAGGTGAACAGAGAGAATGCGCTTTGAAATGAACAAACATTTGTGTATTTTATCATTCAATGATTGGTTTATTAAGGGAATCGCTCAATAAAGTAAAATGCATATGACAGATTTTTAAATTTTAGAAAAGAAATATCGTAATGAAACATTTTATTGAAAACCTGGAAAGAGGTGACATTCACAAGCTGCAGTCTTGTTCTTATAAATGAACGCCCGCATAATTTCATTATAATAATTGTGTAAGAAACTTATAACTGGTTCAGTTCGGTAGAAAAATTGTAAATGCAAATGTATACGTGTCGTAAAGGGGAGCAACTTCCATTTATATGTTTGAATACATTATTTGAGTAACTTTAGGACATACTTAGTATGTATATAACGCATCTCTTGTTTTCTGCAACATGCATAGCCTATTAATATACCATTATATTATACATGTATCATTTATATATTTATCTAGTCTGTTAAATAGCAGTAAATTTCAAGTCGTAAAATGCTGATGTACAACAGCTTTTATATCTAATACTCGATGTATTTTCATTGCAAATTAATCGTTCAGTTTTTTTGCATTTTTTTTTCGCAATCGTTTAAAAGCAAAATACGAGATGAAACATTTTACGGTCAAGCGGTTTTACCTTTTAAACTGGAGAGTTTAATTGAACGAATATTGTGGTTATCTAGCTATTTATAAGAATGAATTTAATATCTTAAAAAAATAAAACAATAACAACACAAAAACGTACATTTATTCAGACTGGTTATTGCCGAACAAGTCTAAACCACATGATAAGAAAGCAATAACTTAAAGAGAAGGTGCAGTTGTCTTTTTAATATCCTTCCTAGTTCTGTTTTATCCTATTTCTGATTTGGTTGTAACAAGTCTCTGTAACAATAAGGACAAGTTTACACCGGAAGTGATTCCAAGAACGAGGAAGAACGCCATCATCATACCTGCTCTACCCATCATAGAAGGTTCCACTTCTCTATAAATACAGAAACATTGCATATATAAATAAAGTGTTCGTAGAATTATTAAACCTAAAGCAGAGTTATTGAAACAGTACATATGTTGGACATTTTTCATTCCAATTTAAAGTGTATAAGTACATTGACAAAAAAAATATTGTTTTAATTAAAATCAACCAAAATAAAAAAAGAAAATGTGTAAGTATGTTTTATTGAAAGCAAGTTGGGCATGCTTTCGAAAAATGCATTTTGTGTTTCCTTCACATTAATATACGATGGCCACTTTAAACTGATTTGAACTTGTATACATGTACAAATTAATAAATGTATGCCTATTTTCGGAAACGACAATTGAGTGAAATAAATCGTTCCATAGACCATTTTCAAGTTTGGTTAAACACGTTCACTTATCATTAATTCTATCATTAGGACAGTTAATTCTTAAATTATCAAGATATTCATATCAATTTTTTTTCTTGTTCGTTTGAAAAGATCTTTTTCACTGCTGGCATTGCATGTTATATTTCCTTGCTATCAGTAATTTAAGTCAGACTTTCAAATCGATGTCGTCTGTTTGGTTGGTTTTACAGTGCATCAACACATTTAAGGTCATATGGCGCCGAAACAGGAAAGATGATTCTGACTAACCGTAGGTGTTACAAACTTCAAAGTAACACCAGGGGTCAAAACCACCTCATCTGCTGGAGCTAAGAGATGCATAGACTCAAATTATTCGAACCCATTTAGTCGCCTCTTATGATCACGCAGTGATCAACGGTGGCTGCATGCCGTCAACACCTTAGCCACAAGAGGATCTATGCTCTCTGGCCAGGCTCTATTCTGTTCGAAGTTCTGTATTTTGATATTGAAATCCCTTAAACTTCAAATGAAATATCTCAAATTCAAAACCAGAGCAAATCGGGAACTTAAATTCAGCAGGTTAGGGGCACATTATGCCTAAAAAATGAATAGATAAACACATGCTTCTTTAGAAAGTTTATAACGTTTAAATAATGGTTTTAGAGCATGTTACATTCTTGTTACCAGAAATAGATTGTGCAAAATATAAAATGATTTGTCATAAAAGTAGCAAAATGTTAACAAAGTAGTATCTTGTGTTCCAAACAAAATACTAAATCACTATAAATGCACCAAATGCATCAGAAGAAGAAGACATTTCAGATAATTGGGCAATAAGTAATGACTAAAAATGAGAAAAGATTTTGAAAAGTTAAAATGAACGCAATCTCTGGGGTCTTATGGACCTTTAGGGTTTGATATAACACTATCAAAAGAATGATAAGAGAGAACTTACTTAGGTCCATACATCATGGTAAGACTGCTATAGTAACCACTCGTGAATGCCATGACAACTCCCGCTATTATAAATACCACGTCATTTTGTATATATACTGGGAACTTGCGCTCAAATCCGATTGGTTGGTAATTACAGAGTAGATATACTGGAATCAATATGAAAGCCCTCAGCACTATAGGAATCCAGACACGACTTGGACCAGGCTGAAAAACAAACATTAATAAATTAGTATTGTTAAACCATCCGCTCTAAGTTTTGGATGGTATTATCGAAATGGCGGCAATACGTTAAAACATACTGCAATGCATTTTGCAATGCATGTTTATCGGTTCCGTCCTGGAATACGTTATTGTACGGAATGCATACGGGATACATTTCCTACTGGATCAAGTTACTAATCGATTGAGATACAAATGTATATACGAGAACTAACAACTTCAATGTTGAACTGCATGTTTACAGCGCATATTGCTCGTGATTGAAAAACAGGTCTTACTGACATGGTGTACACGAGTTATATACCTGAATTACTCTAATTAAGTGCGGCACGCGCTTGCATGTGCATAGCTGGAACATGTAAATACTTCATACATGCATTTTTATTGTACCAATTTATACATTAACCATACACAAATATTAAACATTGTCGCGTTAGTCACTTGTCAGTATACTTTTAAAACTACAATAAGCAATATTCTTTTGTAACTATATCTATAAATATGAATTCATAACTAACAAACAGTAAATGGCTCGTAATAAAAATTCGTCTTCTCCATTCCACAAAGGTTCGTTCACTCCGTTTCTATTCATATTTTTTGCGAAACGAAACAGAAGTTGATAAGAAACCCACTGTATATAAAACAACTTTTACGCCAGTACAAATTAAACTGTTTTTAGACTTTAAGATAATAATTTAAAAAAGCACGGTATACCCACCCATTGGATCCATTCTGATGTAAGATTTCCTAGGCATGCAAACAGACTACAGCTGAGGAACGTAAATATAGATGTCCAATAGCCTTTCAGTTCTGTAGAAAAAAACAAAAAACAAATTTTTAATAATATTCTAGTTAAAGAAAAATGTCCACATCATACTGGGAATTCGGTATTAAAATGCTCAATTTGAGAAAATGAATATGAAATATGCAATGCAATGTGTAATTGTGTAATAAGCTTATCCACCACTTATTAATAACAATTCACAATTACTGACGACACAAAGCAATTTTGTTAATATTTATCAGTATAAACAATAATCAATTATTATGTGCATCTTGATACGTACGTTATACTCAACTCAAATATTTTATTAAAGTCTCATCTTTGTACATCTTTACATATATTTAAGAAATAAAATACAAATTTTTACACAACACAAAGCCACTTCTGCATAAGGAGCTATAAGAGACTGTAAAACCATTAAAAATAATCTCTAAAATATCTACTTTTTAAGAATAAAAAGTCAATATTTAGACACAATCTTACATGAATCATATGGCCAAAGTGGTCAAATTTGTGCCTGTCTGCCTGTTAATTATGATACTATGACAATAATTGTCTGAGCTAACCCTGTGTATTAATACTTTTTAATTCATAAAATCGTTTAGCTAATACCCTTAAAAGTTAGATATAAAATTCATGTTATTACAATACATTGTAGGAGTCTGTACACGCTGCTTTTTAAATTGGCAAGATCAATATTATACCACATAGGCATTAAATCCATACAATTTTCATTCCTGTTTTCTATATCAATAGTATATGTTATTTTGGTTTTGGAGTGATATATGTGGATATATTACCTGCTAAGATTTTATATCACCCGAGCCGTTAGGCGAGGGTGATATTTTATCTTGGCAGGTAATATATCCACATATATCACTCCAAAACCAAAATAATAATTTTATTACCCTTCCCCTGCCGAGTTTAGACCATTTTTTAACAAATCATTGCTGTTTCAAATGAAACGTCGAAATAAGATTCCCTTTAGGGTACCTCTTCATCACAACATGACGTCACGTAAATACATGACGTATTTTTCCCGAACCTAACGAATGTAAACAAGAGAAAAGGAGAAGTCTATTGAAAGCACTTTTTTGTAATTAATATCAAGCTTTCACAAGGTCATATTTGTTTTCAATACTGATGGGAATTTGTATCATTACTCTACTTTGGTAAATATTTATCATTTGACAGTTAAAAAGTGCTTGTAAATCGGAATTTACACCGCGTAAAATCGAACCGTACGCGCATCACCTCAGCGCATGTTGTTGACAACGTTGGGTACCCAACGGGGAAATTTAATGTGTATATTACCCGTCTGGCTCGGTTATATCAATATCTTTCGGGTGATCAATATCCAATCAAAAAGGCGGAAAAAATCTGGAAGGGTAATAATAAGTTATATGTATTATTATATAAATAACACATGGGTTTGTGAGTAACATTAAAAATATCATCCCGAGGAAAATACTGTTACCCGAGGCGTTACCCCGAACAAAAATACTGCGATGATCTGAAATTGTTAACTAAATCTAACTGTAACAAAAATAAACCAAGAGTAACAATAATAACTAAACTGCCCTTACCTTTCAAATTTTAAG